ATATAATAAATTGTCTTATTGCCAATGAGAATTTTGCCAAATATTTTTCCAAGCACTTTTAATAAACTAATTCCATCCAATTTTCTTTTTATGTTAGAGAGAAATAAGAGAGGAATTATATTTTAACATTTCTGTTATACCATCAACAATTGTAGTTTTACTATTATGCAACATTCTAATATCAGTTTTTACTTTCTTTTCAATACCCTTTCCAGTATTCCTTGATTTTTTAAATAGATTTTTTATCCTTTACTACTTTATAAATACTTCCAGGGAGCAAACATACATAATATGCCTTCCTATTTTTTCATCCCAAACCATTTCATCTTTTATTTTTTATTGCATTCACTTTAGACTTTTTAACTCACTCCTCCCTCTCAATCTGCATTTTCTTTCTCTCTTAAATCTTAATTAAATTCCTTGCTGATATATTTCCCCATCTATACATTATACAGTATCTTTCTTTTATAATTTATGCAACAATCATTTTCTTCTATGTATTTTTCTTTTCTCATTTCTGCAGCAATCATTCTCCTCTGCATTTTTTTCATCCATAGTGTTTCTCTTCATCTTTCTTTTATACTTTATTTGGCATGAATCAACACATGCTTCTGGTATTTAGTATTATTTTCACTGTGCTCCAAGAAGGTTTACATTAGGTTCCTTTATATCTACTTTCCAGTTACTCAGCTGGAAGATTAATCTATTGTTTTATGTAGGACACATCATTTCTTTTCCTGCAACCTTTCTATCTTTATTTTTGTTGTTTCATTTCCTTCCTTTTTTTACATGCCCTTTCATCTTCATTGTTAGTCTCTCTTTGTATCTTTCCTCAATCTTTCATCACAATCAAATCAAACTTGCTTTTATATTTATATTCATTCCTTGCCACATTAAGGGTGTGAATGTAGACATGAGCACTCTTAGTGGAAATACAATTAGTAAGTATGTAATTTAAGTATATAATGGGAACAATTTAGAATACTTTTTTTTTCAAAATATCAATACGAAAGAACTAGATCTTATTTTTTTTTTCTTGTTATGTGAAAGGCTCAAAAAGAATCAAGCTATTAGTTTCACTTACAGAAGAATTGGATTAGGAGGGCCCATTATGTTATTGAAAGACATTTGACCTGTAGTTGATCATATCAACTTAGGGCAGGGAATTTTAAAGGGAAAAACACAAAGTCCATCAGTTCTTTTGTTTGTTTGTTTTCATTAAACATGCTATTTGTGGGAATTCACCACCCGTATCTGAATAAGAAAAACAAATTCTCACGTCCATTTCTATGGTATTTTTCAAGGCTTTTTTCCCTCGGGATGAGTACAGAAGATAATGGCAACCAAAATGCACCCATTTCTAAACCCACTTAATACTCAGTTTTGTGCTTTCCCAGAAATGCAATCCCACTCTCCTTACATCTCTGAAGGCAATGAAGTGAAAGTTCTCAGCAAATACGTGCAGGAGGGCATTTTGAAAATATTAACTGCATAGGAAATTTAAAGACATCTATTCAAGGGAATCTTTTAGGGCTTGAAATAAATACAACTCATTGCCAGTTTGACATGGCTAGGGAGAAACCCGCAGGATTTATCCAGCTTCCATAGAGGTATGTGACAACTCTCCAAGCAATATGGGGTCCCGGTCTTCCTCCTATCTAGCGGCAGCTCTTTCAGGGTCCCGTTTTAAGGCAACCACATCCCCTCCAATGGACCCAACCATGCTCTTCTACACTGTCCCCCTAACTATTTCATTCACACATTCTTTCCTTGGAACACCGGGGAAACAATCGGGGCTCGGTAGGGCCCAATTCTACTTACCTCCCATCGTTCTCCCGACTCCACGGCGTCGTTTCCACCCCCCACCCCCAAGAGCAGCTCAGCCGGGAGAGCGGGAAGCGCCTCTTCGCAGACGCTTATCCGCCCCTGTGCCGCCAAGATTTCTGGGAAGTGTAGTTCGAATTTTGTTGGCTGCCACGATCTGAAGACAAAGTGAGCCGCTTATGTTCGCTCCAGGACAAATAATTGGTTTTGTTAACTTATGAATGCGCGCATTCATGCATTCCGGGCATCAGAGATTCGCTGCCAGGATTGTTAGATTCAAACGGGAAGGGAGTTGCGGAAAGCAGGTAAAGTTCTCCTGAGGAAATGAGGGCATCGTTAAATGTAAAATTATCTGTAAACCAGCGGTGAAATCCATTTTTTTTTACTACCGGTTCTGTGGCCGTGGCTTGGTAGGCGTGGTGTGGCTTGGTGGGCGTGGCAGGGGAAGGATACTGCAAAATCCCCATTCTCTCTCTACTCCAGGGGAAGGATATTGCAAAATCTTCATTCCCACCCCATTCCTGGGTGAAGGATATTGCAAAATCTCCATTCCCACCCCACTCTGGGGCCAGCCAGAGATGGTATTTGCTGGTTCTCCAAACTACTCAAAATTTCTGCTACCGGTTCTCCGAACTGATCATAATTTCTGCTACTGGTTATCCAGAACCTGTCAGAACCTGCTCGATTTCACCCCTGCTTAGGGTTACAAACGTTGTAGCAGTTTTTCGGGCACTGAATGCCTTTTAGTTATTGTCCCCATATCCATTTGGAACTGACAGCCTGCACATATATTCATTCACAGGGTGGTTCCCTTATGAATTGATGTATTAAGCACTATCCTCCAGTGGGCAGAAAACAATACTGTCAAGTTTGGCTCAACAAGCTAAGATCAGGTAAACTGAAACATACCAGCAAAGGGACATTAATCTTGCCATTAGATACTTGCATCCTGACATCTGATGCAGATATGTAACTTCTTGTTTTAGCATCATGATCATGACACAAAATGATGTCCCTAACAAAAATTACCTGTGCTGGCAGGAAATTATTGATTCCCACTACTAATCTGTATCTGCCTGTTCCCACACACTGCCTTCACACAACCTTTCTCCCTAATAATGTTTAATAGAACTTTGATTTTACACATTTCAGGCTGTCCTATGATAATTTTAGATCAAGAAGAAAAATGTTAATTGCATCTAACTATGGCACAAATCCTGGCAACATTTTTTTATTGCTATATCCCAGTGGTGAAATCCAATTTTTTTTACTACCAGTTCTATGGGCGTGACTTTGTGGGCATGGCAGGGGAAGGATACTGCAAAATCTCGATTCCCACCCCTCTCTAGGATAAGGATAGTGCAAAATCTCCATTCTCACCCCAGTCTGGAGCCAGCCAGAGGTGGTATTTGTCAGTTCTCGAACTACTTAAAATTTCCGCTACCGGTTCTCTAGAACTGGAAAACCTGCTGGATTTCACCCCTGCTATATCCCCATCATGTTGCTTTCATTGTAATCAGCCCTGAGTGTTCACTATGGTGCTTTTAAAGTTTTCTTTTAATCTTAAATCAAAATGGTCATTAAGAAAAACTTGTTCCTGTATTGTTTTGTTTTGACAACAGAAGCAAAAATCAAGTTCAAAGAACACCAAGGACTCCAATTCTGATTTACATATACTATACATATTCTCAGTGGTGGGATGCAAATAATTTAACAACCGGTTCTCTGCCCTAATGATTTCTTCCAACAACCAGTTTACCAAACTGTTCAGAAAGTTAACAACCAGTTCTCCTGAAGTGGTACGAACTGGTTGAATCCCACCACTGCATATTCTCTTCTATCAAATTTATCTGAATTTGCTACTATATGTCAGGAGTATTGTTTTCACTGTATGAATAGAAGAATTTTCTGCTGAAAATTAGTCAGATAAAATTCCTATGCAAATTAAGAATTTGTTTTAGGGGGTGTTAGTTTAATGATTGGTTAAGCAATTTAGTTTACTGTTTAAAGTTAATAGAAATACCTTGTGTTCTGCTCTGGGAAGTCGGGGAGGGGGAGGGGGGGTTGGGTGGGAGGGTTGTGGGGAAATTGTGTTTGTTTGTTCTAAAACTTTCTCAATAAAATTCCTATGCAAATGTCTGTCTGTTGTTATTAAGAATAATTCTGCTATAGAAAGAAACAGTGCTGGGGATGAGAATTTCCATAAAACGAAGTTTTTTTAAATTCTTAGCACTTAGTTACTAAATGCAATTCTTAAAAGCCAGCAATCCTAAACATCCTTACTTGAAAGAAATCAGTTGTAATTACTTTAATAAAACATACAAAAACAGCATAATAAAATAACAAATAACAATGAAATGGGTTTCTAAGAAAGAAACTAAGGTCATCAAGAACAAAAACAGTGAAACACACCCTAGGGTGGGGTTGTTGTTTACACTAAAAAATTTTTTAGGCATTTCTTTAAATTCCAGGCTTAATGGCTTTCCTAAAATACAAGAGGGTGGGAGGTAGTCTGATATGGGGTGGTAAACTGTTCTAAAGAATGGGGGCTGCAACAGAAAAGCTTGACTCCTTGTGGCCCATAGATTATAATTCTTAAGGGAAAGGAACAGAAATGTAGAAGAATGGTCCTGTTGTTCTATCTACCACTTGGCTAATTGGTTAACTGGCTAACACAGAGCTGCATTAGCAGATGGATTAATCCCTCACTTAAAAACTTCATTGACTCTATCTATCCAAAGGCTACCACAGAGTTGCATTAGTTTACATTGGTCCCAAAATTCTGTCAATCTGAAGGAAATATGAGATATTTTCTTGGGAACAAGAAGATGAAAAGTAGTCACCATAGCTGCTTTTATTCATTTGCCTCTGGCTTGTTTCAACCGTCTCTCTGCTTGAGGGAGAGGGAATATTTTTAGGAGCTATGTTACTTTGTATGCTGTGACTCACTTAAACCAGCCCTGGAGAGACTTTGAAAACAAAGTAAACAACAGCAATTTATATCATAAATATATAAAAAACTAACATTATAGTTTCTTCTAGAAAATCTATGTTATACTAAAGTAGTTTGAAAAAATAACTGCAAAAATAACAAGTCTGTGTAAATCAAGTCAGAAGGTAAAAAAAAAAGGCTACTGGTTAAACATTGTGTGGTAAATGTTCTATGGTAATTCACTGTAGAACTGAAATTAACATTAACAGCTGAGTGAAATGTAAAGATATATACCTGTTTGTTTTTGTCAAAGATGGGTATATTTTGGTCAAGAAAGGCTATGGAAGTGAAAAAAAAATGGGCAAGTAAACATTACTAAAAAAAAAGGTCCTCTGAGAAGGTCACCTGTTTTGCTTCTACTAAACAAGAAAAAACCACAACACTTCTTTAAATCAAAAAAACATAAATTTGTCTAGGTTCAGGAAACCACCAGTTTTCATATGCTGTTCTCCACTTAAGTGGCTGCTTAGTCATTGTTATCTGGAAGAAATTGAAGGAAAGAGCTGTTTATTGCACCAAGAGTAGAGTTGCTCCTTTACCAACCAGCTGCTGAATTATTTTTGAAATGGAGGAAACAACTCCCAGCTATGATTACTTCTATTCTCTTAGTTCAGATGCTCCTGAAGAAAATTGCCAAACTCTGAAGCTTCCTTATATGGAAATTTTTGTGAGTGTTTTATATATTGTTATTTTTCTTGTGGGGACTGTGGGCAACGGTCTTCTGATAGGAACATTAATCTTCAAACGATGTGTCTGGAGGCTTACTGATACCTTCATTGTCAACTTGGCAATTTCTGATTTTAGTTTTCTTATCACATTGCCTTTCTGGATAGACAAGGAACTAGCCTCAGGACTTTGGAGATCTGGCTCTATTCTGTGCAAAGGCAGTTCCTACATTATCTCAGTCAACATGTACTGCAGCATCTTTCTTCTGACGTGGATGAGTGGTGACCGATACTTGACCATCATGTACCCATCAATGGCTAAAAAAATTAGAACAAAGCTTTATCCTATTCTTATTTGCATCAGTGTTTGGATATTATCCTGCCTGTTAGGGCTGCATACTCTACAGTCCAGAGAGTTGAAAAGATACAACAACAATACTTATTGTGTGGACAAGGAAACCATAACCAACAATTGGATTGGATCATTGATGTTGCTTACTTTGGCTTTCTTTATACCATTGTTCAGCATATTAACGTTGCATTATTCCATAATTAAAAAACTCTATGTGCACTATCAGAAATTTGGGAAACATGACAAAAAACTGAGAAAATCCATCAAAATTGTCTTCACGATATCAATTGTTTTTCTTTTCTCTTGGACTCCTTTCAACATTTTTAAAATCTTGGCTTTGATATCTAGCATCTTGGAACTGAAGCAATCTTTCTGCCTTTACTATAAAATTGTCTATCTGGGCATGGAACTGGGTGGTCTATTCGCATTTGCCAACAGCTGCACAAACCCTTTCATCTACTTCTTCTTTGATGATTGCATCGGTAGGGCCATGATACAAAGTATTCTTCCATGCAGGAAGTACAATAAACCTGGAAGCAGTTTTTCAAGCTTGGACACTTAGATTTTCAGAGTCCATTTCTGCCTGAAAAGGTTATTCTTGGGAAGAGAAGGAAGTTGTTATCATCCTGCATAGAATCACTATTTTGAAGTATTGATAAAAAGGGAAAGGTTGAAATGTGAGGAAATGCAAATAAAGAATTAGAAAGGAATTATGACTAAATTAGCTATTGAATATTTATTTGAGTTACATGGAAGACAAGATATGTATCTTTAATTGGATAGTTAATGAAAAGATTAAGTTGAGTATACTTATACTGTAAGTATTATATATGCCTGAATGTTAATAGGTAATTGCATGAAATAGTGCTTGAAACTAATATGATCTAAAATAACAGAAATTGTTAAAATCTTTATCTTGGGAATTATAGAATAATTCAAGCTATTCAACAGTCAAGCTTATTTAGACCTAACTCATTATGGTTATCTATATAGATTAGTTTAGAATGCAAAGTTTTAAAATTATGCCTTTTTTTCTGTTAATTGTAAACTATTTAAGCGTCTTCTAAAATATACTCTTTTTTCGGATGTACATCTATATCTCTTACATTGTATAAAAACTATTTCAGTTTAACTGTTGGTGTTATTGTGATTCTTCGAGAAATACTTATTTTCTGATTTTTAAAAATAAATATATGCATAACAAACTAATTGGGGCTCTTCCTCACAGCTGCGTCCAAGTGTATTTCTCAGATTTTGAGGTTAATTGAAAATTATGTTGGCATAAATTATGCTACACTCAGGGTTTTATGCTGCTTAACAAAGGCAATAGCTTACTACGAAACAATTGAGAGATGTGTTGCAATGTTAAATACACAAGAAATTATTTGATCTATCAGTATCACTACAAATGATTTTACTGAATAATATTGATGTACTCAAATATATTTAAATAGTTGAACGTCCCACTAAGTAAAAAACATGTTACATGTTTTATAATAAATGTATCACAGCAAAACAACATGTTTATTAATAGCAAGAGGTTAAAATACTTGTAGCTGCCCTTATTTGTTTATAAGTGATGGTTCTGTTTTTTCTATGTGGTTAAACTGCACTATCAGAAACCGAAATCTACTGAAACAAATTCCATATATGGATTTATTTACACATTTCGATGGTATACAGGGTTCTTTTTATCAAATCCAGTAGTGATTATAGATGCTACCATAGGATTACAAATTCAAGCCCCCAAATCCAGACAAATAATAAATGGCAACAAAGAAATATAGAGAACTGTAACTTGGATCATCTGGATTTTTGCAGTCCACATGTACCAGTCCCAAAACCTACATTTTGGCTTCCCGAAAAGGCAGTTTGCAGGTTAATCAGAACATAAGCAGCAAAGTGAAAATCTAAAATAATTACTGGCAATTTATGAGCAAGTTCTTTAAATTCAGACAAATCTTGGACGTTGTTTCTGCACCACTTTGCAAAATTTGTATCACAAGAAAAGTTTCTGTGAAGTGCTTGATTGTTATGATGCCAAGTAGAGCTGGGGAAATGTTCTTTTATCTTACGATCTGAGGCCATGTTTTCTGTAGCTGTGACATGCACAAGTTAGGAGGACCTAATTGGAGGCCACCTCTTGCCAACAAAAAAAAAATCAGGAGGGAGTAAAAGACTTTGACCCTAATTTGAGGACATGGGAATTTCAGGAAAGAAACGCAAAACCTCTTATGTGGTTTAATTTCTACAATGAGAAATTAAATGATCTAAACAATATTTTGGTGTGAACTGGACTCTAAACATATTATTTACACATTTACCTTCCACTATATCCCAGTAATTCTGGGCATTTGAAATTAAATACAGGTTATTTTAAAAAATAAAAACAAGAAAAGATGGCAGAATAACAATTGAGTAGAAACAACAACAACAAAAAAGGAATTTAGGAGTTTCCATCATCCTCACCAAAGACCTAGGTGAAGGTCTTCAGGCATCTTCAAAACATCAGCAGGATAGGAGCCATTTGGATCTCATGAGGAACCTCATTCCAGAAGGCAGGCTATGTTACAGAGAAGTTGCACTTCCTGGGTCTTGATAGAAGGCATTGCTTAATTGAAGGGACCAACCCTGGCACATTGAATCCACCAGGTAGATATTATAGGAAATCCCTGAGGTAACCAGGCCCTCTGCCATGTAGACTATTCTTGGACCCAACATAAGTTTCAATTGGTCCGGAATGCATGGGCAGTGACAAGCTTGCTTGGTATGCCCATATAACACCTCTGATTCATGAGCTGCACTGATTGCTCATGTGCAATTCAAGCTGCTGGTTTATCACCAATGAAGTCCTACATGGAATAGGGCCAGTTATTTGAGGGACTATTTATCTTCCATGGTTTCTGCCTGGCAAGTAAGAGTTGTCAGTTAGTGTTTGTTTTGTCTCCTTGATTAAACAGTAGCAGGATCCAGGAAGTGCACCTTAATGATACCTACTTTTCTGGGATGCGATTCCTCCAGGGATTCTTACGGTTTCCACCTGTCAGGCCTGGGAACATGACATGTAAAAGCCCAAGAAGTTTCTTTATTGCATGTTCACCCATGGACAAAATCTCACGAAACTAAAGCATACTCTGCATAACTATATGATAAATGCTAAAAGAAATTAGGGAGGATCCCTCCTGGGCCACTTCCTGCACAGCAATGGTTCATTTTTATGAACCCCTCTGCTAGCTCAGCATGAGATTCCACCACACCACCAGACCACAAGTTCCCTACTAGAGAGGTACATGCTTCTTAATAATCCTGTCAAGAAAAGCTGTTTGCCAGATGAAAATAAAAAACCATTAAACTCATGCACGTAAAGGTAACTATTGGTCTGCAACCGAGAAAAGATATACTTTCACAACTGCAGCGCATAGTCTTCTCAAGGAGGCCAGTTATATGTCAATTAGTAAAGAGGTTTTTGGATATAAGTTCTCAGATCTCTGGACAGAGGCTGCAATTGATTTTGACTTTTGAAGTCCTGTGTGCTTTTGAAAAATGAAGTCCTGTGACTTTGAAGAATGCAACTTCAAGATTCCACAACCTTTTTTTTTTTTCTTTCCAAAATTGAAGCATCAATCTGATCAAGAGCAACTTCCAGCTTCAGTGTCATGCATCACAGGGCTTCAGAGCTATGGCCTCTTCAGAAAGAGACTACTGACAAACAGCTAGGAAATCTGGTTTTGGAGTTTTAATGAAGAAAATAGTTTCTTCAGAGCAATCTTTCTGGGCTGTTGTAATGTTTGCAATCCTGAAGAAAGTAATGAGAGACAGTTCGGTTTACTGATTAAGACACCAGAGTCAAAACCAGAAAAGAATTAAGTAGTAGTCTCACCTTAGGCATGAAAACCAGCTGAGTGACCTTGGACCAGTCATTCTCTCTCAGCCCAATCTACCTCACAGAATTGTTTTGAAGAAAACAGAAGGAGGATTGCGTATATTTGCCACCTTGAGTTTTTTTATAAAAATAATAAAAGTAGAATAAAAATAAATAAAATTAAAAACACACAGAAAACCTAAGCTATGCATGTAACTCTCACTAGACAGCCTGTGAAATGGGAATGGCCCTCTTAGATCCCGGTAAAGTATTCCTGCAAGGATATGTAATTTTTAGTTTTCGTTATATACATCAATGTCAACGTATGTATATCAATGCTATACATTACCCTAAAGGATTTTATTTATATTTTACAGTCGCTGAATTAAAAGCAGTTAGAAAGTGCAATTCAAGTGCAGCTATGTTTATATTACTGTGATGACTGTTGCTATCACAAATCTTCTAGAATCAATTTTTCTGATTTGCTTTAATACATGGGAAATCTCTAATCTGAATTTGAGAAAATATGATTTTTCTATTCTTGTCATAAACCAATTAGAGCATTTCAGGTTACTCCAACATTTTGGATTCAGCCCATTAATACCTACTGATATGTGGAAAATGTGGCTTTTCCAAATAATGACTAAAATTATAACTAAAATATATGGAGTATATATGAATTAAAGACTTGTTTTCCCACATTAAATTCAATGGTTATTTCACTGCAAAAATAGAACTTATTGTATACAATAACCTTGGACTCCAACAATATGTATTCAACATACTTTAAAAGACATTTTATCTATGAAGCATTCTTTAAATGAAGGGCAGAATATAAATGAAACAAATAAATTTTTGAAAGTGTATTTTTTTTTTTTTATTGCAAAAGTTTTACAATTACATTTTCACCCCTTTTTTCACCCCCCCCCCTCCCTCCCCAAACTTCCCGTCCTCCCTAACCCTCCCTAACCCTCCCCCCCCCCAGACTTCCCTATTATGTACTCATAACTAATAACACTGATATATATACCTGAACCCATCCCTCCCCCTACATAATTTTCCCTCTTTGTCTCTTTATATTAAAATATTTCTAATACATTGTTTTCAAATAAAAGCTATTTGATACTTTCTAATTTGGTATTTGTTCTGAACATATTCTATCCACCTTTTCCATTCCCATTCATAAGTCTCTTGTGAACAATCTTTTAAATATGCTGAAATCTTCGCCATCTCTGCAAAACTGGCCATCTTCGAAGTCCATTCCTCGATAGTAGGCAAAGCTTCATTCTTCCAATATTTACCTATCAACAATCTTGCTGCTGTTATCATATACAATATTAATTTTGTTTCATCCCGTGTAAAACCCTTAACTATGCCCAATAAAAACAATTGTGGAGAAAATTGAATTTTTTTCTTCAAAACATTCTGCATGACCCACCATATTTTTATCCAAAAAACCTTAACTTTCCTACAGGTCCACCAAACATGATAATACGTAGCATCCAAACATTCACATCTCCAACATTTTGGCTGAACATTAGGGTACATACATGACAACTTTTTAGGATCTAAATGCCATCTATAAAACATTTTATAAAAATTTTCCCTCAGATTCTGCGACTGTGTAAATTTAACATTCTGAACCCAAATTTTTTCCCATGTTTCCAACATCACTGGTTCTTCAAAATTTTGTGCCCACTTAATCATGCAATCTTTAACTAATTCCGTTTCTGAATCCCTTTCTAGCAAAACATTATAAAGCCTTTTAATATGCATTGGACCTTTCTCTCTTATATGTCTAACCAATTCTTCCTCATGCAACATAATACCAGTTTTTTGGTCCTCTTGAAAGTGTATTTTGAATCACAGTGACCTTTCTGCATGTCCCAATCTACTGAGCACAAGGGACAGAGAGGTGTCAATTAAATTGTTTCCTGTTCCTTCTTTATTTCTCACTCTGGTTCATCCACATGTCCTCTCTGCCTCACAAAAAGGTAGCCCATAAGCTCTTTCTCAAAGACCATTATGTATAATAAAAGGCTCCAATTGCCTGGTCTACTGTGAAGTAGCTTCTGATATTTTCTTGCTCTGCACCCAAAGTATTGCTGACTTCTTCTGGTGTGGTTTGTTCACTGCACTTCATTTCAAACACTTCTGCTCCAAAAGTCCACTGTGTCTGGTGGCAAGAATATCTCTGATCCTCTTGGACATTGGAAATTACCCTTTATGACCATTTATGACCATATCATCTCCCCAATGATAATTTAGTCTTTCTGAGGTAAAGTTGACAAGAGTTCTGCCAGTTTCTCCTTCTGGCCTAAGCAACAAGAAAAGTAAAATAATGGGTTTTCTTCAGTGGTGAGTTGCCCCCAGTTCGCACTGGTTCTATAGAACCGGTAGTAAAACCGGCGGGAGGCTCCGCCCACCGACCCCGACGTCACCAAAATACTTCTGCGCATGCACGTGTGCAGCCCCGTTGCGAACCAGTAGTAAAGGTAAGTAGAACCCACCCCTGGTTCTTTTCCTCATGGTTCACTGAGGGATATGAAAAGTACAAGGAGGAGTCAACAGAGATAGATTCATACAGAAGTATGTCAATGAAAATCATATGGCTTTAACAACCTGCCCTTGGATAGAAAAGTGATGGATGCTTGCTTTCTTGCCAAAGAATTGACCAATTGGGGATCATCAGGAGTGAAATGCTCCTGGTTCAGACCGGCTCGGGCGAGTGGGTAGCGATGGCGGCAGCAGTTCGGAGAACTGGTAGCAAAAATCCCTGCCCCCGCCCCCATGCCCAGCTGAGCCGCGCAATTATCAGAGGCTTTTTTTCTTTTAAATGCCTCTGACGAGCCAAGCTCTGACGATCCCAGATGAGTTGCCTGCCTATCAGGCAAGTCAGCTGGGATCGTCAGCCATTTAAAAGCATTTTTTTACATGGTTTTACATGTAAAAAATGGTTTTAAAAGTAAAAAAAAAATTGGCCACGCCCACCCAGTCACATTAACACCCCCCCCACCAAGCCATACCCACAGAACCGGTAGTAACAGTGATTTCACCACTGGGGATCGTGGTAATGCATGTCTGAACAGTCTTGTTGCCAAAGCTATAATATAGGATGAAATCCAGGCAGGAATTTCCTAATTTGTTTAGCATGAAAAACAAGTGCATTAAATCTGCTGTGCAGAAGAGTCTTGAATCTGCTCTTTTTCTCTGAGGCAGCTCATCACAGAATGAGTGAGCTATTTCCAGCTCACTTATACTCTGACTCCTTGCCCGTCAGGATGCTACCTAGGAAGTAGGCACTGCCTATTTTTCCCTTACATTTCCTGAGGGTTAGCCATTTTCTCATTTGCAATAAATCCAACAAAAGATAATATCTTAAAGTTGACAGATTTGTTTAGCGTGACCATGGCCAGAAATAAGCTTTCATGAACCACAATCATTCAAATGTATGAAATGTTTGCCATAACTGTAAAAGATGGGCAAGCACTCACACAAACACAGGAATCAAGTGTTAATGAAATGAGTTAAGTGTTCTATTGTGATTATTTCCAATAGCAGAAGCAAGTAACATTTGTTATGAAGAAAGCAGCTTTATAATTTATTCTTGCCGAGTGTAGCTTATTTATTTCCCAGCGTCCTTCACAAAGATTTCCCTTTGCAGTACTGATTTTTTAAAGATCTGTTGTATGCACAAAAACACAAGGATATACTTCACAGATCCATGTAGGTGTTATCACTGTGCTGATTCTTTCAATTCTTTCCATAATCGAGATATTTTGTCTTGCAGTTGTTCAAACAGCATACTGAGTTTAGCCGTTTCTTTTATCAGGAAGTTCCTGCCATAAAGAGATACCTATGTTAGAGAGTTTGAGAAATGTTCTAAAACTACCCCATCCAATAAACTTCCATTGTCTAGTGCCCTCCTGATGTGCTAATTTACATGGATCTATTTCTTCTTTGGCTGACTTGAGTAGCACATTGAAATCTAAAAAAAGGAAAGGACTGTGAAATATGGAAGCATAGCAGCAATCAGATTAAAAGAAAATCAACAGCAATATTGAAGTCCATTATTGCTCCTAAGCATGTAATAGTAGTGGCAATCTTCCTATTTGGCTGCTGCTTTTCCTCCAACCTATAGCTGTTTCTATTACAGCACAAACCAAGTTGTAAGGGATGGTGAGAGAGCCTGGTGATTGGGAACAGGTGGTTATGATGTTGCCGAAATAGGAGTCAATGGAAGGTGGGACATCCCATTCTCCTACTACATCCTTGCCATGGTGACTACCAGAGTGGTACCCACTGGGAAAATAACAAGGTTTGGGTTGGGAAAAGACAAAAAACATCTTTACATCAATTCAGATAAATCCAAAGTTAGGTGGCCTTGGATGGAAATGAGATAAAGGCTGCATCATGACAATGGAAGCTTAAATAATGGTTTGTGAAGTATCTTCAAGCCACAGTTAGAGGGATGTGTGGATATATGCTAAGAAAAGTAATGGATTAATAAAAGGGGCATTGAAAACCATTTGCTGCGTGAATTAAGGTCGATATAGCTCCACCCATAGTCCTATATGTAAAAATCAATCAGCTGAGTTTTATTTCAGTAATAATATTTCAGTATTGAGAAAAGGACACTTATTTTACCACATCTTTGGGCTGCAGGCAAAGAAAAGTAAATCAGGCTCTGTGACAGCCATAACATGTCATTAACATCTGTCATTTATGGCTTCTCAGTGTCCACCACCTGTGACAAGGTAGTCTCTCTGCCAAATGGTGTAATGGCCCTGGAGCTAGCTAACACCTTTACTCGCATTCTTGCCTTTCATACCAATTCATGCACCTTCACAAATGACCTAGCAAGCTGTGGATGACAATCACCTGACATGACATACCTTGTTTCAAGAATAACTGGTGTTTGGACAGCATTAAACAAATACTCAGCTGTTTTAGGTGACACTTCATTTATTAATGAAAATATATTGAATGCAATTGTATCAGGAATAATCAGCCAATCGCGACGAACATGCCTCTTTGAGATGGCTTTGGCTTCAGTTTCTGGAAAAGACCAAAATTAAAATTAAAACTTCATCTGAATGAGGTGTACATGTAGTCCTTGACCTACGACTGCAGTTGTGATTGGAACCTCTATTGTTAAGTGATGCAATTGTTAAATGAATCATGCCTGATTTTACAAATGGGTCATGATTGATTTTACAACCTTTTTAGCTATGGGATCATTAAGCAAATCACACAGCTTTTAAATGAATCTGGTTTCTCCCATTGACTTTGCTTGCTGGAAACCCCCCAGAGAAAATCACAAATGGCAATCACATGCCTCTGGGATGCTACAACTGATATAAATACATTCTGGTTGCACAGTGCCTACACTTTGATCATGTGACATAAGGGCAGTCATAAATGCAAGGACTGTAGTAAGTCACCTTTTATCACCAACATTTGGCACACAGCTGTGACCGCCTACTGCAACCCTCTGCCAGTGAAAATGGAGCTCGTTTTGCTGGCAGAGGCACTGCAGACCAGTCCTTCGCTATTTCCAGGGCAGCCCCGTGGGCCACATCTAAGCACTCCATGGGCTGGATCTCCCCCCCCCCCCGGGCCTTGAGTTTGATACTCCTGCCCTAGAGCTCTGTTCCAGTGAAAACCAGAGGCAGATCTTGAAGAAACAGGGTACAAAGCTGCCTGCCAAGGTGGACAGAAGGAAAGAGCTACAGTACTTTGTTTTCTTACAATATGTGGTTAAAGTGGAATTTCCAGGAAAAAATTTTTCCCAGGTATCAGTTGGAACAGATAGAGTTTCTCTTCATTGGTTGTCTATTTTCTACAGGAACAGGAACAAACATTCTAATGAAGAACTGTTTTTAGCAATTTTATTTATTATTTTAAATTTTCTCTGTGTAATATAAATTGTCTTTAAATTTTTGGTACAATTTAAGGAAAATATTTTTGTTATTGAGAATTTTCAGAAAATGTACTAACTTGAGATCCTGTTCTATAGTCTCTTTACAGGAAGTTTCCTTTTATTATGTAGAAGATTGGTGCCATCTTGTGGTCTGCAGAATCCTTATTTTTATTTTTACATGTCTGTGGAGATTCTCAGTCATCCAAGTCATGTCTCAAAGGTGCTTTTTCAAAAGGCAACTTGACTTTTGTTTTTTCCTTGAGGAAAACATTTCGCTTCTCATCCAAGAAGTTTCTTCAGTTCTCGCTGAATGGTGTATATGTGTAGGGGAATGGAAGGATTACATTTCTTTGCAGTCATCTGGACATTAGCACTCTCTCTGAGAGCCAGGTTTATCTGTGGGGTTTATCTGTGCCCTCAAGGTCACCTGAATCAAGAAATTTTCTTGGAACTGTGAAAGGATTGTGTTGTATGTAAGAGATAGGTGGTGTCCTATTCCCCTTTGTTGAGAGAGGGCTATTCAGTGTTAACATAGTTGGCCTCTTTTACCCCTTTTTCAAGTCCACATTCTTTGTCCAGAATGTGGACTTTTGATTTTTATATGTTTTCTTGTTTCATTCGTTTGTAGTTGCTGAATTCCCAGATTGGATCAGCATTGTGATTGATCTTTTCCAACATCAATTACCTGCATTGTAATGTTAACTCCTATGTATTTTTTCACGATTATATTTTTCTTATTCCTGAATTTTGTGGGATTAAATCCTTTTCAGGGTATGATGCTGAAAATGGATCAGGGTTAAAGAGGTCAATAAGAATGATCAAGGGACTACAAACTACATCTCTATGAAGGGAAACAGAAACGATTGGTAATATGTAGCTAAGGAAATAAAGAATAATGAAGGCATACAATAGTATTCTTCAAATACCTGATGTTAGAAGAACTCAAGACCTACTCTCTGTCATTCCAGAATGCAGGAAATACAGGTACTCACAGAATGGTACAGCAATTTCTATTACAGCAATAGTAATGTTAATTTGCCAGAGTCCTAGCTAGATATATGATGACTTTTCTTATCTGGGTATGTTTATGTGAAGTGGATGGTCATCTGTTGGGGATTCTTTAATTTGGATTCTTGCACAGGGCAAGGAAGGGAACACTTAATGGCCTAAGTGTTCCCTTCCAACATCATGACTGATACCGTAATAATATCTGGATATGTTGATTTTTAAAATATTATTTAATCACATGGCTAATCCTATTGCTAGAACAAAGTTTAAGCTATTTCTTGACTAATGCAATACCCAATATTGATGCTGATCATCCTGCTTGAGCAGAGAATTGGACTAGAAAATCTCCAAGTTCCCTTCCAACTCTGTTACTTTTTTTTATCTTTTTCTGAAAAGTGTCTGAGCCTTATTTAGTTCATCAGTAACTAGGTATAGGAACAATAATAAATCACATACATTCCACACTTAATACCAGGACTTAACTTGAACTGAAAGCTGAGGCAAGCAAGATTCAGCAAGCAAAATAGCTATGAATGGAAGGCCCCCAAATCTTACCAGTCATCATATGTGCAAGTAAAAGGATAAGAACAAGAGATAAAGGCTTGAGTTGGAGCATAGTTTCGATCACTGTTTTGGTAGAGGCTGACAAAAAGTTTTGCAGGGTTCTGGGGGGGGAAAAAAGTATTAATGCTTGGCTATTTCATAAGGATAACATAATATCATGATACAACCATAAGAAATATAGAAGCCAGTACTTTACTGAAACAAGATAGTATAATTTTGTGTTATGTCCCCACTGTTCAAATTATATCCATTGATGGATTCTGTTTCTTCACAATGTATATTGGAACTAAGTGTTCCTCTAGGTGCTGCTGATATATGTCATACATTGAAGGAAAATGAGCTTCCAGTTTGTTCAAAGTCTTACACATTGTTACCCAGCAAGAAAATCCCATTATGCTCTATGCTATCTAGGGTTAAGATCAGTGGTGGGTTCCTCCCGGTTCGGCCTGGTTCCGCTGAGCCGGTAGCGGTGACAATATGATGTCACCGAACCGGTTCTGCCCTCCTGCCCCACCCCACCCGCGTTATTCTTACCTTTTATTTGGCCCCACTCCCAATCTATTGCTGAGTCCCTACTGATTGGCTAGAAGGAAAAAAATTGTTTAAACTCTTACTGCGGGGCTTCAAAGGGCCACCCTACAGCTGATCAGTGTTAAAAGGCAATGTGATGGTAGACCAGTGCCTCCTAAAACAAATGAGTAGACCGGTGCCTGCAAAAATAAATGGGTAGACCAGTGCCTCCAAAAAAAATAAGTAGATTGGTGCCTGCAAAAATAAATGAGTAGACCGGTACAGCTCTGCAAGCAGTTAAAAGCCTGGTAGACCAGTACCTCTGCTAAATCCTAAAGAATTGTCACATGACCATCAAGCCACGCCCACAAAATAAGCCACACCCACAGAACCAGTAGTAAAAAAATTTAGAACCCATTCCTGGTTAAGATTGTTTATAAAGTCTGCTAGAGTATAGGAAATAATGTTCTTAATAATGTAATTTGCATTATATCTGTCCTCCTGAATACTGTATCTGTATTCAGGAGGACAGATATAATGCAAATTACATTAGACATCCACTATTAGTTGATTTGAAAAATACAGAATAATAGAATTGGAAGGTCTTCTAGTCTAACCTCCTGCCCAAGCTGGAGGCCCAATACCATTCCAGACCAATACGGTACCTGTCCAATTTCTTCTTAAAAACCTCCAGTGATGGAACATCCACAACTTCTGAAGGTAATCCATTCCACTGATTAATTGTTCTCAGTCAGGAAATTAATCCTTAATTTTAGGTTGGATCTCTGATAAATTTCCATCGGTTACTTCTTGTCTTGCCCGCAGGTGCTTTGGAGAATAAGTTGTCCATCTCTTCTTTGTGATAGCCTCTCAAATATTGGAAGACTGTTGTCATGTCACCCCTAATCCTTTTCTCTATTAGACTAGGCATCCAATTCCTGTAACCGTTCATCATGTTATGGTCTTCAGACTCCTAACCATCTTTGTTGTTGTTCCCTGCACTCTTTCTACAGTCTCAACATCTTTTTTGTGTCATGATGATCAGAACTGGACACAATATTCCAAAGGTGGTCTTACCAGGGAAATATATAGTGATACTAATACTGCACATGAACTTGATATTATCCCTTTTTGCAGTGGTGGGATTCTACCAGTTCGGACCAGTTCGGGCGAACCGTTAGCTGCGACTTTCAGCTGTGAGCGAACTGGTTCACTCTGATTTTGAAGTAGGCCCACCTGCCTGCCCCTGCGTTATACTCACCTTTATTTCCATTTCCGAAGCCCAGCTGATTGGCGTGGCAGAGTGGATTGCCACACCTCACCTGTTTTCCTTGCCGGCAGCAATGCGGAAGGTGAGTTTTCTCCAAATTGCGCACTGGCCTGCACTTAGCAAACTGGTTGTTAAACCAGTAGGATCCCACCCCTGCCTTTTTGGTGCAGTCTAGCTTTTTTGGCAGCTGCAGCACCTTGCTGGCTTATACTTAAATGGTTGCCCTCTAAAACTCCTGGATTCTTCTCACAGTTACTGCTATTGAGCCCACTACTTCCCAACTTCTATAATGATTCCCCAACTACTACATTATTTTAAGGAGTAAGAGCTCCCATAATACTGACTGCAGCACTATGAAATAATAGATATGACAAAAATTCATGTTGTGGTTAAATTATCTCTGTCATATATATTTTGAAATACACCAGCAAATAAAATTCTTGAAGCACTTGAAAGCCTGGCACACTTACTATGGTAAAATGTTTGGTTGTTGTTGTTGTTGTTTACAAGAATCTACTTCATCAGATGCATAAACTATTTCAAGAATTATGTGAAATCATAATTGTTAAAGGGCCAAAAGTTGGTAGCAATAACATTAAATGAAGTGTAACACTCATGGTAATTCATGTTTTGTGTTCAGCTACGATTATTGTATCTTTCTTTATTTCTCCAAGTAAGCCAAAAGGCTCTATGGGATGTTCTTCAAGTTTATCCTCCTAATAATCCTGTAAGGTGTTTTAGAAAACAACTGTTGGCTTGAAATTACATAACAATAACGATGTCTAGGATTGAAAAATTATCTGAAACTACATCATTCTTAATTTAAGTGCTACATTTTAGGATGTACAGCATAACTCAAACTGAGTATTTCGGATTATTGTTACCATTCTGTTCTCCCCCTCCCACCCATTGTCAACAAAATTAATTTCTTTCTTTACTCATTTGATATATATATATATTTGCGCAGAGCTAGAATTATCACCTACCTCTTCACTGGCTGCCGTTACTTCTGATTCTGAAATGTCAGCTGCCTTTCAGTCCCAAAATAGTTGCACCCAAGTCTTAGTTTGTTTCAAACCAGCTCTTTCACAATAGACAGAGTTAGTTAAACCTTAACAAAAGTACTCTTGGACTTGATAAGATACCAAAAAGCTCAACATAATAAAGTTATTGGAAGTTTATCTTTGAAAAAAAAAAAACTAAAGCAACTCCTAAAATGTAGTTTTCTGTGCCATTTTCTATAAAGGCATGTGCAGATGACATAAATTTGAACTTATTTCAGTGACGTAGATTTGCCTTTACAAGATTGATATAGTGAATAATATCTCTTTTTCCTCAAATTCAGAATTGCCAGGTGGGAGGGGAGGTAGACTGTAGGTTTTATGGAATTATGTGAAACTGCATTATATAAGAACTGATTCAGTAGATTACAATGACCCCCCATCTAATCCTAAATTCTGTTTTCAAGCAGCTTCTACCTACATGAAGTTTGGCCACCTGTTTTACAGAGTAATCCTGGGTAGTTTAGAACAACTGATAAAAACTAGATAAAAAATCATGGCCTATGAGCCATGGCGGTTAGAATGCAGTATTACAGGCTAATTCTGCAAGCAGCCAGGAGTTTGATCCTGACCGGTTGACTCAGCCTTCCATCCTTCGAAGGTCGGTAAAATGAGGACCAAGACTGTTGGGGTGGCAATATGCTGACATTATAAACTTAAGCAGTTAAGAAGGTGCTGTAAAGCACTTTGGAGTGGTATATAAATTTAAATGTTAAGTGTTATTAAAACACAACAAGCTTCTAAGTGTCTCCTGGTAGACTCATTGTGGTGTTGATGCCTTTACCTGAAGATAACTGCCAAATTGAAAGGAGCAGCAGAAGACTAGAAGCTATCATCAAAGTGTACCCTGCCTATAAATATTCCCAAGGCGCATGGAAATTTTCAATTGTCATTCTGAGTTTAAATGGCAAGCAGCAACTATCAACTTTTCTAAAATGCCAAACAGCTGCTTTTCCAAATATACTCTTTATTACCCGTGAATGAAAAGATTTAATAGCTGAAATATAATTCCTGTGCAGTGGACAGAAAGTAAGTATATGTACAAGATAGTAACTTCTATTTAAATAACTTTAATGCACTCTAAAACTGTTTCATATCTAGATCTGCTTTAGAGCAGATAATTGTTTCAAAATCTAATCCAAACACATTTCATAAACATTATTAGAAAATGATTTTTTTTAGCTTTATTTTACATTTCCTTAACAGATCAGTTTGCTAGTAATGACAATATGTGGGCTTTATATAATATGCAATTGAAAAAACAAATTGTGTAAAAGATAAAATTGTTTGTATACAGAAACATCTGAAACAGGCAAGAGACAGTTTTTATAATGAAATATTTTTTCCTATATATTTGTTATAAATACGATTCCAAATGTCTTTTTGCTTGTTCAGGACTGCCTCATAAATGTTGTTCATTATGTAAATAATCTTAATATATAAGGTAACTGCAGACACACAAACACACTTTCCTAGACACAACCCAGGATAGTGTACTTGAGTACACTTTTTAACTACAAAACTTTATTAGCCATAGAGATATAGTGATCAACATCATTTTTCTTGTTAGACAGAACTTTCACATCTCCTGATGCCAAATTAAATAGAACTGTTTCTAGATTATGTGCTAATGATCAAGTGATAGGTATATGGACACATTTGAACCAATTTTATACAAATAGTGATGAAACTGGAGAATCTTTATTTCAGTTAAATTGAATTTGAAACCTTTTATTATTAATGTACTATTTTACATAGTTCATTTAATAATTGCTGAAGCAGATATTGTTTTGTATGTGTCCTGCAGTCCAGCACTATAGATTATTAGACTATGTATATGTCAAAGAAATTTAGTACATATTAACTTTAGAGTGTATAGTTCATTTGTAGTATTTGTTTTATATGGAGATAAGGACTTGTATTAGACTCTTTCTTAGTTATCTTGTAGTAGAGATAATTAATGATTCACAGATTCTCTGTAGAATTGTTTCCCAGCACAAGAATTGTACATTAGTCAAATTATATTGTAGATATTCAAGATTCAATGCAGTGGTGGATTGCTACCGGTTCTCCCCGGGGTTCTTGTGAACCGATAGTGGAAATTTTGAGTAGTTTGGAGACCGGTAAATACCACCTCTGCCTGGCCCCGTCCCCAATCTATTTGCTGCCTCCCGAGTCCCAGCTAGAAGGAAAAAATCAGGGCTCACTTGACAAAGAAGAGAGAAAAAAAACAAGACACCTTAGCTTTAAATTGAGAAGCCAAGAAGCCTCCCAAATGATCAGCTAGAACCGAGCCGCTCCTTCTAAACCGCTTGGTGATGGTAGATTGGTAATTGAGGCTAAGCTGCCTGAAAACGGTTTCCGATGCTCTCGGTGGTGGCAGAGTGGCAAAAAACTGTTTAAACTCTTGCCGCAGCGCTTCAAAGGGCCGCCCTACAGCTGATCAGCGGTAAAAGGCAGTGTGGTGGTAGACCAGCGCACTCCAAAAACAAATAGGTAGACCAGAATGCTCCAAAAACAAATGGGTAGATCAGTACGGCTCTGCAAGCAGTTAAAAGCTTGGTAGACCAGTACCTCTGCTAAATCCTAAAGAATTGTTTGTCACATGACCATCAAACTTTGCCCACAAAATAAGCCACACCCACAGAACTGGTAGTAAAAAATTTTAGTACATGAGTCTGAGTACATTTTTTACATGAAAATGTACATGAGTATATTTTAGTACATGAGTACATTTGATTCAATGTACTCATGAAAAAAATCTTAATGTGAAGATTTAGTGCTGTACCTTGTTCACTTGTTCACTCTGAAGTGATCCATCATTAAATAGTAATGTTCTATTTATAATAGGGGTCTCCAACCTCCGGTCTATGGACCAGCATCAGTCCGCGGCATGTCAGAAACCAGGCTGCACAAACAAGCGAAGCCCCATCCGTGGGATGCAGGCAGCATGTGAAACCACGCCCACTCTGTCCCACGGAAAAACCTTTCTCCATGGAACCGGTCCCTGTTGCCTAAAAGGCCATTTTGGGGGCCACTGATTGATAAGATAAATAGGGGTATATGAACAAGCTGGGCCAATTTCAGTTTTGTGACTTAAAACCAGTGGTGGGTTGCTACCAGTTTGCCCTGGATCGGGTGAACCGGTAGCGGTGGTGGCAGGAGACTCCATCCACCCACCCAGATGCTTCTGCGCATGTGCATAAGTGTTGTGTGCGCGTGAGCACATGTCCACAAGCGAACTGGTAGTGATGGATTTTGAAACCCGCCCCTGCTTAAAACCTACAGTCAGCCCCCCCCCGTCATCTTTTGCAGCCCACAACAGAGCATATACATGGGGCATGCGCCTCTTAACTGGTAAGCTAAAAGGCTATAACATTGCTCCGTGCCCATTTCAGTGCTTATAACACAAGAAGCAAGAGGAAACTCAAAGGATGGGCTAATGGAAAAGAAGAGTGTTGGCACATTTGTAGTCCAGAATAGAAAACTCCTTCCTCATCACATCCAGCAAGAGATAATTGCCAGAAATAGAGCCACTGCTATTGTATTCTCCCACGACCACTGATGAGCACCAGGTGACTGATGATGTACAAATGCTGTGTAGCATTCACTGGAGTCACAGGTGGTGAGCTCAAGTTACACATCTGTTTGGGAATGGAAGGTGCAGTCACACTCCTAACCCTACATTTAAGTGCTGTGATAAGGTTGTCTTTTCCTCACTTGCCTGTTCTCCTCCCATCACTGACACAGTCATAGAAGCAAGAACTATTCTAGAGACTTTTAGATCAATGTATGCAAACAACTTCAATGCTAATGAACTAGTTCTTCCATGGCATTTATGACAATCCAATTTATGACTAACCATGTCAGATGTTGCATTCCTATACCAGAAACTCATCGTTTCAGCTCTCCAAATGCTTGTCCTCATGTGGCCAAAATAGATCTCCCCACAGAGAAAAGCATCAACAGTCTACCCTATTTGCTGACATAAAATATTTTAGGGGGAGAAAACAAAATGACACTTTTCCAGATTTTTCCTTTTATTTTGTATCGACGTTCTGAACAAATGATTTAAATTACATAGTAACATTTTGTTATGCAAAAATATTCCCAAAATACTGGTGGAAAAGTATTAAAAAGTATCAAAAATTAATTATGTTTTCAGTTACTTTTTATTTATTGGATTAAAAAACTTCCTTATATCATTACAGCGCTGGATGGCTCCACCATCCACTCTAGACCTATCCTTGGGAGATGGGCTCCATTTTAATTCAATTGCTTAAATAAGAGCAAGGCGGGATCCATGGTGGTATCACCCCACAGGGCAGGTGCTATGATCGAGATGACCCAGTTCTGGGTTCCATCAGGTGGCACTGCTTAATTGATGGGACCCAAAATATGCCAATGCTATTAGATCATATTGGACAGCAACCATAGGAAACCATAGCAACCATAGATAGTCCCTCAAACAAGCAGGCCTGATACCATGAAAGGTTTTATGTGTGTTACCCAATACTTGAATTGCACCTGAAAGCCTACCAGTAACCAACGCATGTCGTGAAAGAGATTTTATAAATACAGAGTGGTATGTCTGTAACTGCCTATGCTAGTGCATTCTGCACCAGTTGCAGTCCCATGTAGAATGCAGTATAACAATTCAACCATGAAGTAAAAAAGCACGTGACTATTTTAAGGAACTCCTGAAGTCTAGGTATGGACACGACACACTCAATTGATTGGTGAAATGCCTTCCAGGTCAGAGTTGTCACTTGTTCCTCAAACTGCATACTAGTCCTGAAATGCAATTCATGGTCTAAGGCAGGGTTCCCCAATCCCTGGTCTGCGGACTGGTACTGGTTTGCAGCCTGTGGGGAACTGAGTTGTGCAAGTGGTGTGCATGTATGCATAACTCTGTTTTCATAAGCAGCACGCGCACGAAACCATCTCCTCCTCCTGCCAGCCACCACTGCCGGTCTGCAGAGCCAGAAAGTTTGGGAACCTCTGGTCTAAGGTATCAAAATTTGCTGAGAGCTCAAGAACGGGGACAGTTACATATATCTCCAAAAAGAGAACACAACTCCTCCCCCCCGCCCTTTCCAGCCTCACTCAGGTCTTGATTATACGTAGAAAAACAGTTTGGTGTAGTGTTTAAGGTGCTTGCCTAGAAACCAGGCAACTATGAATTCTAGCTTTCTCTTAGTCATGAAAGCCAGTGAGGTGACTTCAGACCATATGAGGGAATGCTCTCTGCTTGTCTGAAAAGCAGCTGCAGTCATGCAGACAAGCAGTCCCCCTCCGTTCCCCTAGGCATGCATTGATTCATTTCCTCAGATGTGCACTCCCAGGCATTCAAACCAGTGTTCCAGCTGCCTGGCTAATTGAGCCTGGTGTTTTCAAGGACATACAGGGCAGCAGTAGCTTAACCCCACCCAGTCTTTTGAACTTACAAAAGCATAAGCTAATAAGAGGTGTGTGTATAGTAGGAAAGATAAAAGCAAACAGCCTACAGATGAAGCAGAGGCTGTATCTGTAGACTGACAACTATTATAAGCAAGCAAGAGGACTTTCAACTGCCAAGACCACAAGTTATGATGAGCAGTACAGCTTGGTGGGAGTCCTGCCAGAGACTAGGAGCTTTGCCTGCAGCAACTACAAAAGGAGCAACCACATTGAAACAGCACTTCCACCCAACTATTGCAATAACATCTTGAAGGCAAAGGTTATATGTTATTTTATAGACTATGAGACTTTTGTGTAACAGACTGAGTATAAAAGACTGAGTTTTGAACACATCTTTATGCAGCAACATCACCTTGCAAAGTCCTAGAATGGTGACCAGAGCAATACCTATTGTTGGGGAAGGTGTGTGTGAGCCTCATCCACAATCAAATCATCAAGTCTTATTACGTAGCACCCTGGTGTTCAACAGTAACAGCTGGATGCTAGGGAATCAAATGGATCTGATCACCAGATTTTGTCAGTCATTCAAGGTAGAACAGGTCATTAGATCCTTGGTGGCACCAGGGACTAGGAAACTAGTCATGAATACTAATATTTTTATTATATGGTTATAGTAACAGAAACTTGAAAATCTGAAAGTACCTCCTCCATTTATCTTCAATGCTTTCTCAAGTTACATTTCTGCTTTGGACTCAAATTACTTCTATCTGACTTTTCTTGTTGCGGATTTTCTCCTGCTCCTCAAGATTATACCTACAGCTTGTTACAGGTCTTTGGGATGAATACTGAGGGCTGGAAGATAGGAAGATCTTAACCACTGAGCCCACCATCTCCAGCCAGTCCTCTGCTTCCTTCCCTGTCATGAGCTTGATGGAACCACAGTGTCTCCTGTCCCAATCTCATCACCTCCTCCAAGGTCATAAAGCACAAACATCCCAAACTCTTAATAACAATAATTACTCTGTTCCTGTACTCAGACCCTCAGCAGTATCCACACCCACCCATTCTTATTCACCACCATCTTTCTATTCCCTGGTCCTTATGTAAGGCCATACTGGGGGAATTCACTTCATAGAAAGCGAAAGTTGGAGATACTATGTTGAAAGTAGCTGGAAAATCAGATATATTTGAACTTGGTTCAAATATGGAGAGACCAGGGTAGCTTCAGGTTGATTAGACATAAATCCTTAACCCTATTAGCTATACAAGAACCTTCTACTAGTGCTTTACGTTATCATTTGTAGAAACTTTCAACTAGGTTAAAAAAAAAAATTCTGGTAACTAATGGCCACCAATTTCTTCAGGCAGGCCCACTCTGCTCACCAAAATTGAAAGGGAAGGGAAACTCTGGTTGCAATAACCATTGACACTTCTTGACAGTCTATACAGGATCAGCTCCCTGCTCCCCTCTGGGACTGACCAAGGGACCAGCAAGACCCAAAAAGAACATTGGTGAAATTAGTGAAAATCTCCCCATGGCGTGATAGCACCATCTCAAGCACTGTCACACATCAGACTGTCTTCCTTTCCTGGCTGACACATACTCCCAAGTGCATTCACCAAGAACATGCCACAACAGGACCAGAATCAGCTTCCAGAGTGAAAGTGAGAGAGATAAAGGTAAGGTTTAAGTTCCCTTTTAGTGGACACATAATGAACAAACATTGTTGTATCCTTTATCTCTTCCATTAAAAAGTGCATTAAAAATCCACCCGCAAAACAGTACCTCAACATTAGGCCCTACTAATATAAGCTTTTCAGACACCATATTTCAAATTATTTATTTAATCCTCCTTTCAAATATGGCTGGGTTTAAATCGACAAATGATAGAAGCCAGTTTCCACAGTGCACAATGTTACAATACTGTACAATTGTCCATAATCCCTACATAGTGATGTTATATCTATAATTAAGCTAAATTAATGCAAGAAGGATGGGGCCTCATATGTTTTCTAATTCACCCATATTTGACCTCCCTATCCTAAACTTTACTGTGATTAGAGGCTTCCACACAATCAGAAATCCTGCTTTATCAAGACCCCTGACTTCATAAACAATTCTACTACCATTCAAGTATACTTACGTATGAACCTTTTGTTGACTTTCCTGCTCGATCTAGAGAAGGTAGTGATATCAGAGGAGGCATGATGGATACAAAGATCCTGAAGGCAGACTATTAATCAAATTCACATACTCTGTCCAGGTGCAATAGGTTCCTCATCCCCTCTTTGTAAAGACTTAGTTTCTAGACAACTTATCATCCTCATTGCCCTTCTCTGGTTCTCTGAATTTTTTGTGCCCAAACTGAGCATAGTAATCAAGATGGAGTCTGAGCAATACAATGTAACCAAATGAGTAAATTTCCTAATTTGGAAACTATACTTCATGAAATTTAACATCAGATTGCTTATTTTGCAACCTAATCATACTGCTGATTCACAATTAGATTTTAATCAACTACTATTCCTTGATATTTTGCACAAGTATTACAATCAAGCTTAGTATCACCTATCTTACACTTGGTGCATTTGATTTGTTTCATGAGTAACTTTGCATTTGCCATCATTTAGTTTCATTCTGTTACTATCTACCTGCTTTCTAGCTTTACGTTACCTATACAAACAAAACTCATTTTGAGTTTTCTCTTTAAGCATATTAGTAATTCCCACCTAGTTCTGTATGATTTGCAAACCTGATAATCATTCACAACTTCTCATGTAAATCATTAATAACTAAGTTGAACAGCATCACTCCAACAATTACACCCAACTTTATACCTTATTTCCTAACAACAAAAGTAGTTTGAGCAGTTCTGAATAGCTGCCTCAGACTTAGAATGATTCAGTCTAAATGTGATTGGACATGCTTTAAGGCTCATTAGAGATGTCCTCTAGCCGTTTTCCTTGATGTACCAGAAGTACATTGTTGTGTTATTTTTATTGCCTACTGCCCAGCATTACAGCAAAATGTTTTTCACTTATCAACTTGTTAGTTTTTTTGAATGTTCAAAACTCATAAATTAGGCTACATTTTTGTTGACATCAAATTATGTAGCGCGGAGACTTGTGCAAACTGTGGATACTAAATATATGCACTAGTATCTGAAAGTTTTCTCACTCAAAATTTTCTAGAAATCTTCCTGACTCAATTTTTTAAAAAATATCCTAGTACACAATATGTGTACTAAGCAAGACTGAATTCTGTAGTTCATTACCCAAGATTAAAAGCATTATCTTTTGGAGTAACCGAAACTACCCCACCAATTAATGAACAATTAAGGAGGCAACTGGATTACCTGCGTTGCAGCTTTGTATTCTTAATAAGAGTATTAAGATCCAGGTAAGACCTCAAGATCCAGGCAAGGAAATCATCTACGTAATGTTTCAGTATTTGTTTTGTAAAATAAAAAAATCTTACTGCAATTTTCAAAGTGCAAAAACAATTAAAAACTTTTAATACAAGAAAGTGCAGTCTGGTGGTGATGGAGAAATAAACCTGTTACTGACTGCTGTACTTAGTGAATAATATTAAAAGCCAGAATGAAAATCTGCTGTTCAGGCAGCCATCAAAATCTCATTTTATACAGTAGCAGAGTAAAGAGGCTAAATGACGACACTCATCCCACTGCGAGAGCTGCCTTTTTCCTAGAAGAAAAAAACCCAAAAAACCTGCCATTAGTAAGAGGCCAGGAAAGATGACAGGTCAGCAGCCATTTATAATGCACTTCATCATTTTGGGATGATTAATTTAAACTACATTTTACACTTGCATGATTTGAAGCCATCCAATCCTTAGCGTTTTGATGCTATTTAATAGTTACTGAATTTTGAGAGTGTAAAGAAGCTGACAGCAGTGAAGAGCTTCTCTTTGATTTGGGTGGAACGCATTATAGAGCTTTACTTTATTACTTATAAAGCCCTACATGGCATAAAAGGTAAAGGTTCCCCTCGCACATTTGTGCTAGTCATTCCCGACTCTAGGGGGCGGTGCTCATCTCCGTTTCAAAGCCGAAGAGCCAGCGCTGTCTGAAGACATCTCCATGGTCATGTGGCCGGCATGTCTAAATGCCAAAGGTGCACAGAACGCTCATACCTTCCCACCAAAGGTGGTCCCTATTTTTCTACTTGCATTTTTTACATGCTTTTGAACTGCTAGGTTGGCAGAAGCTGGAACAAGTAACGGGAGCTTACCCTGTTACGCGGCACTAGGGATTCAACTGCTGAACTGCCGACCTTTCGATCGACAAGCTCAGCATCTTAGCCACTGAGCCACTATATCCCTTGCTACATGGCAGAGGGCCAGGCTATTTGAGGTACCACCTTTCTTTCATTGTTTCTATTTGCCCCACCAGATCTAGTAGAGGACATGTCCTGAATCCCTACTATCAAACACCACCATCTTATTGGACCCTGTAGTTTTGCCCTCTTAGTGGCCGCATCTCCCCTATGAAGCATCACCCTCCATCCCATTCTCTATTTCCTGTCTCTGTTACAGACCAGCATGTATGTTTCAAGATAGAATAATTCAAGTAATCATAAAAGCCATGATATCATAATTTACCGACTGTTCTGTCGACTTTTGGAGTTTCTTGTTCTTGGTTGGGGTAACTTCAACAGAACAATAACTAGGTGGTTTTTCGTACTGCCAGTCTGGGGAACGATGCTGACGTTGAGGCCTACTGTTTTTCCGGGAATAGTCCTGTTCTCCAGAGGAACTCCATGACTCCCCGGAGGATGGTGGAGAATAGCTGCGAGGCCGTCGTCGATCCTGGTGAGCAAAGTTATTGTCACGTTGATACGTTCGTCGTTGTGATTGTTGATTTTTTCTCTCAGAGTGTTGCTGTCCAGAATACCCTCTTCTTGTCTCAAGATGGGAATCAGAACTATTTCTGCCTCGCGAGGTGGGTACTACATCTGTTGCAGAACTCCGGTATCTACCATGATGGCTGCCATATCTTTGTGATTCAGTTTTGTTTCTATGCCTATCCCATAGTTCCTGATCATAGCTGGACGGAGAATCATCATCCAAAGATGAACGACGATGCCATCTCCTCTCCTCCCTGTGGTTTTCATTTGTGCTGCTCCGAGGTCTTGGAATATGTGTAAATCTCCCTGGTCGTGAGGAACTGCTAGATCTCTGAGAGGACGGGATACGCTCAATGATAGGAGGCAACTGGATTACTCTGCGTTCCACAATCTCTGAGCCCAGAGAAGAGAGAATGCTGGGATGCTGACTGCTTCCAATGTGATGTGAAGGTAGTACAGGCTGAGACAGATTAAGGTTCCTGATCTCGGATTCAAGATGATCCAAGATCTTGTTGCTAGAGGGCACTTGGGCAAATGGAGGCATTAATGGTTGGCTGCTTTGGAGAGATACGTCTAAAGAACATAAATGATAAAAAATGTAATATAAAATGTTTAAATTAATTACTAGCTACAGAGAGTGCCTTTGGATAGAAAAGCAAGATATAAATATCTTAATGATCAAATCATGCTTCTGCTGTTTTGATAGATGGCATACTTCTGAGTACAGCACACTTAAAAAGTTACTTTTGCACAGAGCACAAAGGATCTCTGCAATACAAGGCACTTTTGTAACACAAGCTGAAAAGGATAGCTTCTCTCAATTGATTCAGCATTGTGCTACTTAATCATGTCTATCCCCAAGTCTCAAAGGGATAAAAGTTTCTAAAAATTGTACATAACACCGCAGTATTGGGGTGCAAAAAGCCAATGGCAGGATATTTTCTGGTTATATTCAAGTGTAATATATTCAAGTGTAATATTCATTAAAGTTAGAAATTTAATAGACAGAAAAGAAAGCCAATACTCAGGACAGTAGATACAGTATAATCTGTCCCAGAGAGTAAACTGAACACTTAATATTATCTGATCTTCATGAACAAATAGCTTCAAATGATAAAAAAAACATCCTTTAACCGCCCATATATTTTCCATCATTGTACTCTTGTGCCTCTGGGAAAAGAAGCATTATAATTTCATAGAGGAAACACTCTAAATCAAGTGAAAAACCAAATGCTTCAACAAAGGGACAGCATCCCTTGGGGCTCCTACCTCTCTGCAAAAGTGGGTTTAATTGGTATGAAGATGACTGGGAGTGGTGTGTCATCCACGGAAGAAGTTGTTTAGCTTGTTTCACGAAGTGGTGCCGTTCCAGGACTAGAGAATTGAAAAATAAAATTGATATTGTTCATTTATGAATTTAAATACTCCTGACAGAACAGTCAAGTTGGTTGAATAGCTTTGTATTTTGCAGAGTTACAATAATAATTATCAGGTTCATCCTCACTTGTTTTAAAGTACAGGTGGTCCTTGACTTACAGCCATTTGTTTAATAACCATTTGAAGTTACAATGGCACTGAAAGAAATGACTTATAAGTGGCTTTCACACTTAAAACCATTGTACCATCCCCATGGTCACATGATCAAAATTCGGCTGCTTGGCAACTGGCATGTTTTTATGACAGTTGCACTGTCCTGGAGTCACGTGATCACCATTTGTAACCTTTCCAGCTGGCTTCCGACAAACAAAGTTAAAGGGGGAAGCCAGATTTGCTTAACAACTGCAGTGATTTGCTTAGCAACTGTGGAAAAAAGGTCATAAAATGAGATGCAATTCACTTAACTGTCTTGCTTAGCAATGAAAATTTTGGGCTCAACTGACTTGTGTAAGTCAAGGATTACCTGTCGATTTAAGATATATTTAAGATACATGTTCACTTTATCAATATGAAAGTGACAGGTCTTTCAACTTTTGCATTCCAGCCAAAGCCTCTTACATTCCTTTTCAGGGGAATCTATCTAATTGAAGGAACAAAGCAATTATGGTTAGACCTCAATTATATGGTAGGAACTGCAGAAAATACAGTAGATGGTTCTATGACATGTTGGTGGGGGTCCCATGAGAGACTATGAACCTCCCCCCCAAAAAAATCATTTTCCAAACTTTGTTACACAAATGCTAGTGCCTCCAGTGGTGAGGATTTTTATGTATTGCAATTCAGCCACTGGCATTCCACTTTGTTGTCATTGCAAACAGTGTAAAACATGGATTGTGTAGAAGTGAATTCTACTGTGAAGTTTTTCAGTTTTTTGCAACTTTTATTTGGATGTTTTCTGAGGCCTGAACATTATTTCAAGGATTCCTCCAAAATAGAAAGGCTGAAAAAAAGCTGTTCTATATACTTAAAGATTGAAGGAAGTCTTACAGAACTTCTGAGGCCTTGCCAACCATTTTTTCTGAGGTACTTAGTGTCCACACCATTTGCAAGCCCTGCTGCATTTCTTCTATGCTAATACTACAAACATTCATCCCCAAGCAAGTTTTTTTTAAAAAAGCAGACCATTATTTCAAAAAGCTGCCTCACAGCAGACAAAAGCTCTGATTAAATCTACAAATGGCATAAATATGTAGAGAAAGGGAATGGCAAACAAAACATGGTTGCAAAACATAGGGATTGAGATATTAAAATTCCCTTCATGCTACTTGTCTATACTTTAAAATCCGCAAAGGTCCTCCTCATATTGCTGCCTGAATTAGACTGGTAGGCACAGAAATTAAAGTCTTTTCTGCAGTGGGTCAACTTTAATTATATGAAGTTTACTGTTACTGTATTTTTTATATGGGATACTTCTTTTTTATACACATAAAGTGTGTTCTAAATATTTTTTAAAATAGAAAACAACTGAACAAATGAAATATTGAGGGACATTAAATCTGGAAAAATGTACCTTCTTGCCATGATTTCTTTTGGTTCCGACTTCCTGAAGTCACTGAAGTACATATGGAAGCGACATACATTTCATACACCTCTTTTATGCATTATTTTTCTAAGGATTCTGGATTACCTTTTTCATTGCAGCAGCAACGAGTTGGGCAGCAGGCACAGCGCACATGGCAGCAGCAATGCTGTGGGCAGCACTGACACCAGCATATTCCAATTACCATGAAAAGGAGGAGGGCACCAAGGATGATGAAGAGTACTGTAAGCCAATCTGCATCAAGTAAAAGCCCCCCCCAAATAATTATTCAATATTCATTGCTTTCTCCATTCTTAGGTACCTCATCTCGCAGTCTGAGAGAAAATGTTCCCAATTTTTCCTGATGTTATTTTTCATATCAAGTGCTTACATTCAGACAGAATGATTCAAATCTCAGTTCATCCACATCTTTCAGTGTGGTTGTAAGGAAAAGAATGAAATCGATTCCTTTCTTCTTCAATTATACACAGTTTAGTCTTATTAAAATTAGCTAGTTTGATAAATCAAATTTGAAGGTGTTCACCTAAGGTTCCATGAAAATATCCTGAACCATTATTTATTATGATAATTTACTGTAACTAATATGATTTTAAAACATTTCCTTCCAGGATTAATTAGATATTTCAGCCCTGTCATTATATTTTCTATTGTAATGCCTTGTTATAAGTAATGCTCATAGAAGAGCTAGACGATATTGTTCCAAAGTATCCAAACAGCAATATACATTTGCATTAATCCACTAAAACAAATATTGAAATCATGGACAGATGTAGGAATCACATAGATGATCTTGAAAGAATGCAGTAGCAGTTAATACCACATGAGCTAAGCCCAGGCAAGTAAGACAACATTAAAACTTAATGTAACAACAGACCCTGAACATCCAGGAATACATCAGTAAGATAGCACCCAAAGGTAAGCTGTTGAGAAAATGCCTGTAGTAGTAGCAGACATGGGAAGGAAGATCAAGCAGAGGAAGTGCCATGGCGTGGGGATGTATCACTGACAGATAGCTGAGATGATTGACATCAGGAAATCCTACCAATGGCTGGACTAAAAGATGGCATTGATCATAGCAACTCAAAACAGGCACTAAGCCTCAGATTCTGTAGAAGCTAGGGTCTTCCACACTAGATAGGACCTAAGATACAGAAACAGACCCGGAGACAGTCCAACACACAGTACCAAGGTGTAAGATGCAGACAGGAACAGCATACACTGAATGGCACAACCAAGTAGTTGGTATGATATGTAGGAACATCTGCACATTTATGGGCTAGAATATCCCAACTCCAGATATGAGATTCCACAGAAAGTTGTGGGTTAAGATCCTGTGGAGTATTGGTCCACAGGATCCTATGAAGTATTGGTCAGTACCAACCTTGGTACCAACCAATTAATCAGACATTATGACAATAGACAAGGACTAGAGGACAACAGTGGTGATATATGCAGCAGTGCCAAGTGACAGCAACATCAGAAAGGAGTATGAGAAGCTGAAGAAGTACAAGACCTGAAGGAGCAAATAGAGAGGATGTGGAACGTAATCGCCAAAGTGATCTCAGTGGTGCAAGGAACACTTGGAGCTGTGACTCCTAGGCTGGGAGAATGGCTTGAATAGATCCCAGAAACAACACCAGAGCTGTTTGTCCAAAAGAGTAGAGTGCTAAGAACAACTAAGAACCCTCAAATTTCCAGGCCTCTGATAGAGAACCTAACAATGAAGAAGACACATACCACCCATAGGGATGAGGTATGACTTTTAAAAAAACATATCCATAGTTAATCGAATGCTGCAATCCAGCTGTATTCATCAGGAATTTCTAGCTGAACTTAATAGCATGCATCTTGAGGATCATGTACAATTCTTGTGTTATTTCCTTTATTTACTAAAAAACACCATGGTTGGCACCAAGAGAGAAAAAATTATCCTAAAATTTGCCCCCCCCCCAAAATGATGCTACATACTCAAAACAATGAGCTTGACTTCTTTGTCTGGATCACCAGTTGTGTCTCCTGGAGCTTCAACGGTACAATAATAGACTCCATGGTCCCACCACATCACCTCATTAATTACAAGATCTGCTCCTATGAAATGGAAAACAACATAATGAAGCCCCACCAATGTTGGTTTCAGATAATGACCTAAATTTCTGAATAACAAAATAATTATTTTCAATTATAAAAAGTCAACAACTGTAATCCTGAGCAGTGCTCAGGCACCGGTGTAATTGGAGGCTTATATTACCCTCTGCTAATTTGCATTAATGCAGATAAAGAATCCTAAGGAAAATTTATTGTACAATGGACATAAAATAGTGCTAAAGAATTCTAAGCTGCATAAATACTGATCTGGTAAATTCTTACTGGTAACAATCATTTAAAATTCTTATTTTAATCTGGTGCCCATCAAATTAGAAATTCAAAGGTTGCTACCATATATATCCGTGATGGTGAATCTATGGCACGTGTGCCAGAAGTGGCACGCAGAGCCATCTCTCCAGACATGCAAGCTGTTGCCCATTGCTCTTCCGGGTTCCGGCGTGCTGGCCTGCTGGTCTTCACATGCACGGGTGTGCTGGAAACTGGAAGAACAGCTGTCCGATGTGTGCATACACACACTGGGAAGATGATATTCTGGTTTCCAACGTGCACATGTGTACCGGCCAGCTGGTCTTCGCGGGTGCATGCACGCCAGAAACCGGAAGACTAGGTGGCCGGTGACCATGGACGCGCTAGAAACTGGAAGATGATCTTCCCGCCGCGCGCATGCACACCAGGCAGTTGCTCTTCTGGTTTCCGGTGTCGGCACTTGGTGCCGAAAAGGTTTGCCAACACTAGTATATATCATGGTATGATGACAGAATTGAATGAGGATTGCATAAAGCATTAGAAAGAAGGAGGATCAAAAGCATACTGTACTACATAATAATACATAACTTATTAGACTATATTGAAAGGGATTTTTGAGGCTGCTAACATATCCAAATATCACTTACTATTCTGAATTGTGATCTTTCGCTGCCTGTAATCAACACCCAGTATTGGTTCATTCTGACCTCTTTTCTGAGCAACAATGCGTACTTCCCGTTGGTTGTCATTGCAGTCATTGGAAGGATCCTGGCCAAGATCTAGGCTTGCCTGGTAGGCTGTAAATAAAATATCAAATTATTTATACTATTTGGGAACCGATTTCTTCTTGCACTTTTGTATAATTTCCTTTAATAGTGAATGCAGTAGAAAAAATAGGATTATATTAAGTATCAAAACTTCTTGAAGAAGTTCTTTATGTTCTTTAGGGGTTCTTTAATTTTGATTTTTAGGTTTGCAGCAAGTTCTAATATTTACAACAGATTTAGAAAGTCAAAAAACTATCACTTCCGCCTTTTCTGACCACACTAGCATTAAAATCTCACTTCCAAAAAATATCTCACTTCCAAAACATTTTTGCTCATTGCCGAATTAAGCAGTTGGCGCAATATCCTTGTTGCTGTTTTTAAAGAAAACAGATAACCAATGGTTGGTAATCCTAACCATATCCCATTGGTGCAAAAAAGTCAGAAGACAACTGAAATAAGCAGATGTAAACAAGTGGTGTGCCACACTCATTGGTAGGCAAAAATGGAACAAGAGCTGGCAAACCTGTAACAGAATAAGTCTCTTATGTCATATAAGCCATACATTTGAAGCATGTCTTACTATACAAACAATTGATGGGTTAACAGAGCATATCAAACGGCAAACAAGCAAATACATTATATAGGACAGTATGTTATGTCAACCATACTAATAACTGAATAAAGGCCAAGCTCTTGGGATCTGTCAATAAATGGAAATGGAAAATGATGGACCTAGTAGGCTTTTTAAACAATGACCATTACAATTCTAAGTAATAATAAACAATGAGTTTCATTTTAATTTAATCCATTACTCGTATAGTTCTCCTAACTCTGACTTGGAAATTTTGGATAGAGATGGGATCTTTTATCTTGTATGTGAATTGGCAGAGTTTGGAGGGGAGTGATTTGCTGAGGATGGGGAGTAGCATTCTGGATATGGAAAGCAGACCCAGATACAGTGGGTGACAGGGAGGAGGGGTGCATAGACTGTTCAGAAGGAAGTCGCTCTTGGTGTCTTGTATGCTTCTATCTTTTACCCCCTATTCTCAACTCCAAAAAACAATCATTAGATTCTTGGCAGCTGTGGCTTTAGGTGCTGCTGCTTCATGTCAGGTTGGCTTATAATAAAGCTTTCCCCTCATTCAAAATCTCATTCTGGAGACAAGCAATCTGCCTTGTAGTACCAAAGATACAAAAGGTGGACTTCTGAACCACAATCCAGGGAAGTGGCTATTTTTTTAACAGCTAAAACTTTATTTAGCAATAATACAGTATAAACAAATATATATTCATTTCCCCGTTTTAAAACGTGCATCAACGGTACTCTCTGCTTATTATTTTATTCAAAATAAATGTTTTTTTTTAAAAAAATCATCTATGAATAAAGAGATAATTACTGAAGTTATAAAACTGTTCAATTAATAAAAAATACAAGCAGGGTGTATTACATTATTTTTATGATATAAAAACTATCATAAGTATACTATCATCAAGTATACTTTTTTGTGCTCAATACCAAATTTTTCACTGTGTTGTATATAAATGTTAAAAAAGAGTAAACCACCCTTAAAATAATATACGTAAATAGTTAATTTCTGACCTTCCTCTTTGTATTTCAGCTGATTTACAGTAACTCTTGATATTAGAAACTATACTCTAAATGTATTTACCATGCAGCATAATATATGGAATTTATTCTTGCTTAAATTTAGTTAAACATTTGTTATGTATATTTAATGTTAATTTCATCATTGTTGCATATTCCCCAAAATTAAGTTCCCAATTGTACTGTTTTTCTTCCAGTGTTGTCCAAAATTTATCCTTACAGCTGTAAGCAATGTATCTTAATAAATCAGTTATTTTTTTATTGACATTTTCTGTGATTATGCTTAATAAAAATGTAGTTTTTAAAAACTACAAATTCTCTGAATGAGAGATTTTTTTTTCCAATACAGGTAAGTCCTCGACTTATGACAATTGAGCCCAAAATTTCTGTTGTTGAGATATTTGTTAAGTGAGTTTTGTCCCATTTTACAATCTTTCTTGCCACAGTTGTTAACTGAATCACTGCAGTTCTTAATAATATAGTTAAGCGAATCTGGCTTCCCCGCTGATTTTGCTTGCAAGAAGATAGCAAAAGTTGATCACATTACCTTGGGATACAGCAATGGTCATAAATAAATATGAACCAGTTGTCAAGCAACTGAATTTTGATCACATGATCATGGGGATGCTGCAAAGGTCATAACTGTGAAAAACAGTCATAAGTCACTTTTTTCAGTGCTGTTGTAACTTCAAACAATCACTAAATGAACTTTGTAAGTAAAGGACTACCTGTACTTAAGGGATTTTCTACATATCTCTCACATACAGTAGACACTTTCTTCTGTTTCATAGCATTTTCAACATTTATTACTATGTTCTCTGTTTTGTCAATTATTGACAAAGTTGAATACTACTTGTAAAAATTTTATACCACTTCTCTCTCAAACAATAGCATGGAGTACATTTTATAGATGTGTTCTCCCATTCTTCCCACCGCCAAATTGGGGCTATTTCTTTGAAATGTTGCATCTAATTTGTCATGCATGTTTTATCATATCACAGTGATGGCTAATCTTTTTGCCGTAGTGAGCCAAAAGTGGGAGGAGCGCGGGGGGTTGTGCACGCACATGCCTACAACCCTAATTTAATGTGCCCCGCGCATGCAACTCCCCCACACTCCCCCAGTTTTAGCACGCTGGCATGCTGAGCGTTTTTTGCCCTCCCCAGGTTCCAGAGGCTTTCTTGGGGGGTGGGACCGGAAGTCGGGAAACGGGCCGTTTCCGGCCTCCAGAAGGCCTTGGGGGGGGGAGGGGAGGCTAGAAAGCCTTTCCTAGAAAGCCTCTGGCGCCTGGGGAGAGCGAAAAATGGGTCTTCCACACCCCCCCCCCCCTCCCCAGAGGCTGGAAACAGCCTGTTTCCTGACTTCCGGTGGGCCCGAAAATCAGCTGGTTGGCGCTGGAGCTGAGCTAGGGCAATTCTCGCATGCCCACTGATATGGCTCTGCGTGCCACCTGTGGCACACGTGCCATAGGTTCGCCATCACAGTCATATCATATCCAACTAAGCAGCCTAGTAAATGGTTGATTCTATATAGGCATTTCAAATTCTGTCTTTTCTTTTTAATGTCCCATCCTTATTTTTGAGCTCAGATCTTTTTCTTTGAGCAATTTGTTGATGCATCAGCCATGGTATATTCCAGGGGAACTATTTGGGGATTTTATGCATGGAAAACAAAATCTATTTCCTTCCTTATATCATGCTAGATAGTAATCCTTGGCTGATCCTTAGCAGAAGTACTCACCAATAGTATAGTAATCAAGAATAGGATCTTTGCAAAAAGATTTATAGCGCCAAGTAACAACTACATCCTGCAGTGGTGCTGAAGTACTATAATCACATCGGAGGGTCACAGACGCAAATAAAGTTGTATATCTCTCAGTATCCGGCACTGTCACGAGAACAGAGAAACAACCTATACAGGTACAAACACAAACATCACATTGTATTCTGGGATATTATTTGAATATTATAGTTCCAGACTAGGAAAGAGATGTGAAGAAGAGAAAGTAGAAGTGAAGTCAGTTTTAGTGTCTGCAAAAAAAGAAGCTTCAATTTTGTTTCCAAATATTTATCAGGTTCAAGAAATCAGGAACCAGCATAGGGTTCAAAAGTACTACAAATTTATTTCACTCTACCTATACACAAGAATCTGATCTACTAGTGATGACGCCAAATTGGTGCTATGCAAGAGACAAAGGGCTTCAAGCTGGGTTGGACATAGATCTTTTTCACTCCAGACTGATGATGCATTTGACCCCACCCTCAGGCTCAGTCTGGTCATCTCTTACATTACCCACAAAAAAAATTAACAGCAACATGGAATAGCTGTTGCATTTTTGAAATCACCACTTGATCTCCCTCTACAGATTTTTTGCTACACTGCAAATGCATAAGAAGAGTAATTGCAAAATCTTCTTGGGACCCTCCCCCCACCCCCAAGCCTGATAACATAGCCAGGTCTTGAGACTTGTAGAACGTTGAAAGGGAAGGAGCTAAGCTTATTTGGGGAGGGGGAGATACCATAAGGTGGGCACCACCGCAGAGAAGGTCTGCCTCCTGGGATCACCAAATGTGATTTGCTAAAAGATGGTACTTGCAACATGCCTTTTCTGCAGACCTGATGGGGCAGGCAGATGTGATCAGGCAGAGGCAGTCCCTCAAATAACCTATGCCATGAAGGTCAAAACTAGCACCTTTAAAGGTCAAAATTAGCAGCTTGAATTGGATCCCAAAGCAAATTCATAACCAATGATTGCAGAATAGAGGTGTAATATGTATCATTCTAGGGGCACACTGAAAAGGGAATGCTTTAAACTTGCAATATCTTAAAAGTATTGATCGAAACTGCCCAGAGTCATAAAGTATGAATTGGGTGGTTTTATAATTTTTTCAAGTAAAATAAATTATTAATACTTATAGTGTTATATTAGAAATACCTATTATCTTAGCTATAATCCAGTGAACTCTCTATCACATAGGTATACAAGATAACATAAAATAAATATTCCAGTATGAAAGCTATCACAGTACTTGTGATAACGTAATATAAATATATGCTGCCTTATGTAGAATAACTCAAATAGTACTGACTACAGAGACTAGAACATTTCATTTTATTTCAGCAGTTTTGTTTCTTTGAATTCCAGACAGAACTTAAAGTAATTCTATAGGAGAGATATTAAAGCAGTTTCTCAGTTATGTAGAATGCTTCCTCTATCCCATAGAGTTTGCGGGCTACACTGCTCTTTTCCAATGGAGTGGCTATTACAGCTGTTGAACTGGAACATCTGCATACCTCAATAGCCTAGTCTTTTCACATTATTGAATCTATTACATTTGGACAGCAAATAATCTAAGTATTATACCTCCAGAGAAGTTTTAATGAATTGGGGAAAAATATTTTTCAAGGTGGGGCTTAAAAAAAATAACCATTATGAAGAGAGCTCTGTATATTATTATTGTAGACTGGAACATGATTTGAAAAACAGTAATTAAATAGAACACATTCCCTTTCTAGACACTGTTGATCTACCTGCATTCTTCTCTATTGAAACTACAGCTATTGGAAGACATAATTGTATAACATCTGAAGGACCTCAGGCCTCCATATATGATCCGAGAAGTCAATTCCATAAAGAATATCCTTGAAAGAACAGAATATAGTGACACTCTCTTTAGGCCGAGATGGAAATCCATCCATAGACTAATTTTATTTAGTGCTTTATAGAATTTACTGTATCATTTAACCAGTGCTATGGTAACAAATTATCAACAAACATAAATTTTATATCACAACAGCTCGGGCTTGGTGATATTATAAGACACTATTGAGGAAATGACACCTCAAAAGATCTCTGTAGCAACTCTGAAAAAAATTGTAGTTGTTAGTCCTCTGCAGTCAGTGCTCTAAGATAATGGTCAGAAAGAAATAATTTTTTAAAGCTCTTCCATTCTCTTGATATTCCTCTCTCAGTATGGAAGAAAGTACATAATCTTTGGAACCGACATATTTTGTTTTCCTACCACTTGGCAAAGCACATACCTTGAAACATATTCTAATCACATTAGCCACCACCAAACTTTTAAATTATGTTTTATACAAACTCCTTTGCATGCTGTGTTTGCAAATATGATGTGTAAGCAAGAATTTGTGAGAAACAGGAAATATAAAAGTGATGCACGTACATTAGGAGGGTATGTGACTTTAATTATTTCACTATTGGGGAAAGCCTGGAATTCATCTCAAATTACTGTATTGTCCTCAAGAGAAAAGTTTCACCCAGGAGCAATAATAGTAAAACAAAATAAACTGCACACATACTGTATTTCTGTGAATCCAAAGTTATGCATTCAGTTAACTTACAATTTTCATCTAAAGAAAAATTACTATATATGAATTTCTAACAATTTTCACTTAGACAAAACTTCTACAGTATCTATGTACTATATACAAATGTCTACATACAGGCAAGTTTACAACTGGAATATAGGGAGGTGACATTAACCAGATCTCTAGTTCCTAGCCAAACCTCCTCCAGCCCCCAAAGTGCGATTTTTACATCAGCAAACATTCCGTTCTTTCAAGCAAAGTTTAAATAATTTAAAACAGTTGAGAAATATCTGAATAGGGTTGATCAATTGTTCAGCCTCCAGGCTGTCTGATGAGGAAATTGGTTTAAAAAAAAAAAAGACAAGCGGGGAAGAACCAGGTAAGGAGTCCTCGGAGAGTGGGCGGCATAGAAATACGAATAATAAAAATAAAAATAAAAAAAAGTAAGGGGGGTTCTCAATTTAATAGCTAAAAGCAAGAGAAAAGATCGAGATGAGTCTGTTTTGTTTAGCTATCAACTTCTCTCCCCTCTTGTCGACTCACCTGTCGAGGTGAGGCCGATAAAAAGCGCTTGAAATTGCCACTGCCAGATCCAGGCCATGGCGTCTCCTCCCACTGCCCGGAGTTTCTAGGTAAACCTCAGCCCGCCCTTCCCTAAAAGCTAATTCCACGAATTTTCTTGTTTTTCTGCAGCCGAGGAAGGGAACCTCGAACCTTTCTCCCGGGGGAGGAGCGGCCCAGCGCAAGCAAGCAAGCGCCCACTTCCTCCGTTCAAGGCTTCTCCGGCACCTGTTGCTGAGGCACTTTCCCATTCCCTGTAGGTGCACTCCGCGGCGAATGCCTGCAGGTGCCGCGCTCGCCCTAAGGGTCCCTCCTTCCTTGAAGCTTGCTGGGAAAGCGTGAGCAGAGACCTCTGCTGGCTCACACCGAAGGGCGCCGTCCATTATTCTGTTCCAACTACGGCTAGCGGCCCGATGCCGAAGAGAAGGTAGCGAGCAAGATTGGAATGCAATACCACCATCCCCGCTTGCAGCTTCTCCCTATATTGGAATTTATGTCGGCGGTGTTCTCACGACGTATAAGGAACTGGACCGCGGTTATTAAATGAACACGATCGTCTCGGTTAGCGCGACCCCGCAAGCCATACGCTAAGTACACTAGTTGGAATCCCATAAGGCGAGGAGTCGCAAACTCTATGGATCCAACTATTATATCTGGTGCTAATTAATATGACAGTTCCGATTCCTTATTTCCTCCCCTTTCCATCTTTCTAATATCGCCTTACACCAGCAGAAATTTGATGGAATGGGATGGTAGGTGCACACAAGGTTGCACCCTTCGTGTTGAATAAACTGGTGTAGTCCCTTTGAAAATGTATTCCCGAATACTGGCATTTAAACCAAAGAGGTATGTGTGGGTGTGGGTATGGGTAGACACACCATCAACATGCACATTTTTCTCCTTACTGTGCCCAAGGGGACGATTTATTCACTGGGCATGCATTCGTAAAAGATTGTGCCCCGATCTTTTCAATCTGGATCTTTTCAATCCAGAAACACTTGATCTTTTGAAAACTTTTAATTGTCCCTAACAGAAAACTGGACAGTTTGGGGTTTTGCTGCGGCGAATATATTTCCTCAACTGCGTTACACTTGCCATTAACCTAGTAAAATTAAAAAATACAATTGCCAGCGCAGAGCTGCAGCGGCCACGCCTTTGGCAACTGTGGAAGAAATGAGTTCATTTGCTTGATCCTCCCGCCCCGCTTTTAAGTTTCCAGCATGTTTTAACCGAGTGAAGAAATCAACAGGTGCAACTTTCTCCCATTACTACATTTGCATTGCTGAGTATTCTACAGCTCTTTGGAAAGTTTACGAGCCTGTCGGCTGGAAAATGGCGGCAACTCCCGTGGGAGATGGGAATTTATAAACGAGCCGTTCCTTTTTTTAGGAATGTGTTGGGATTTTTTTTTTAAAAAAAATCCCGTTCAGCAACTGTTAAAACTGGGAGACTTCGGTAGTCGGCGGTATATCACAAGAGTAACAAATGGAACAAGCACCCTCTTTTTAACGCGCTGTTAAAGAGGAAACTTCTTGAGCAGGGAGGCATTTTCGGGTTAATCAAATAACAGCCTCCGCGCTTCCGTAAATCTCAATGAATGGGAGTAGCAGCCGGGGATTATGGGAGTTGCAGTCCAGCAGAAGTAGAAAGTAAGCAAGAAGGACCTCAATACACAAACTGATTGTTATTTGCTTTTTATTCCTTTCAGTTTATCGCCACCATTGTCTATGGAGATTCTCAGTCATCAGGTCATGTTGGTGGTCCAGTTGTTTCTTGAAAAAGCATCTTTGGGACTATCGCCACCATTCCAAACCTGCTTATGTTTTTTCCGTCTCCTTCCTGTACAAAATAACTTCCTACGTCCACCAGTTAATACAGAAGCAAAGTTTTTACAAGTATCGAATCGCTACGGGAAAATACCTACTAAAGCCACCACTAGGATCCTATTACTCTACGCAGGCGCCTTAAGCACGAGCAATTTTGAAACTCAATTTCCCAGATACCTTCGGGCGCCTATCTTTGGTTGCTCAGCAACCAGTGTCAACCTACAATGGAGCCGAGTGGGGAGCCCGAGGGCGACGATGCAAAAGGTAACTTTCCCGCTTTCTCCACGCCAAGACGTTAAATTTGGAATTGACTTCTCTTGACCTTGAAATACCCCGCCCCCGAAACTGTCCCTTTCTCATAGCAAAGAGCTGCTCATTAGTAGAATAGAATAAAAGCAGGCAAATGCATGTATTGAAATATTAAATAGGTTCAGAGCAGGGATGAAATCCTGCAGGTTCTGATAGGTTCTGGAGAACAGGTAGCAGAAATTTTGAGCAGTTCAGAGAACCGGCAGCAGAAATTTTGAGTAGTTCGGCAAACCGGCAAATATCACTTCTGGTTGGCCCCAAAGTGGGGTGGGAATGGAGATTTTGCAATATCTTTCCCCTGGAGTGGGATGGGAATGGAGATTTTGCAGTATTTTTCTCCTGCCACACCCACCAAGCCATGCCCACCAAGCCAGCCATGCCCACCAAGCCAACCATGCCCACCAAGCCACGCCCACAGAACCAGTAGTAAAAAAAATTGGATTTCACCACTGGTTTAAAGTCATTGGAGTACTTTGTGGAAATCACATCTTCAAATTGAAAAGAGGGAGAATGTTAAAACATGATCAAATAACCTCCATTGGCGACACTTTCCTCTCTTTGGGGAAGGGGATGCAGAATCCAGAAATAAGCATATTTCTCAGATTTGCTATAAAAATGCAACATAGCTTTAAGTTAACATTTCTTGCTGTTGCTTTCTGACTTTTGCTAAATGCAACATTTGGTACTTTCACTTTACTTTTTAGCAGATATATGAGTGGCATTCCTAGCAAGTGCAGTTACTATCCAGAGGTGTACCAAACACTAACTTTTAATTTTTTAATTTTTATTGCTATAATGTGCAAGTGAGGAAGGAAAAAGACAAAATATACAACAAAATACAAAACAAGTATAAAGTATAAAAAAAGGAAATAAGAAAATGTGTAAAGTAGCTTAGTTTTTAAATTATAAGTTAATCATTGTCCACACAGAATTCATATTGATCAATTTTTCCATTTGTCTATGGACAGCTAATTTAGTAGAGGAGTATGAATACATTTCTTCAATATAGGATTGTAATTCCATAATGATAATTTTCTGTCTGTGCAGAATTATCTTTATTTTGGTATATTCCAAGCAGACAAAATGTCCACACACATCTTCATAATTTTTTGGTATGTAATTCAATATCATCACCCTACATCCTGAAACCTCACTTTGGTTTCCCAAATCTTTTTAACAGTAGGATGAATACTAAACCAAAATGAGACATCCAGGTCTTGTATATCAGAGTGCCCTCAAATATATTATATCTCTAGCATAAAAACACTGATATTTAAGCCTTCCTAAATATCCACTGAGGTGGGCAATAAACAAATACAAATCAGTCAATGAATTCATCTCATGATCATTAGATATGCATTTTACATTTTAAAAACACAAGACCATAGATTTGTCATATATTCTAAAATTTTGCAAATTACTAATATCTCTGTTAATGTGATTCTATACAAATAAAATAAACTGAACTTTCTACAAAAAAAATTAATGAACTAAACTTTCCAAAAAAACTCTTTCAAAGCAGTTTCCAATATATTAAGTAATTTGGGACTTTCAGAAGTTGTAAATAATAAACAAATTAGGATATCAAAAGTTTAGCCATCAAAATTTACAGTAAAAACAACAGCATGCATAAGAATTTCTTTGGAGTTTCTGTGCTTTGTGACAAGTTTCGATTAATATTGTTCCTATAGCATTACACTGTTCCAATAAAGACTGAAATTACACTTTTGTACATACAAACTATGCCATAACTGCATGCTTAGAAACAAGTATACAAGTAATTTAATTCAAGAAAATACAATTCAGTAGTTTTTCATTGAAAAGGAAAATTGCAGTTTTTGTTTTGAATATGATTAACCATTCAAATTAATCCCTTAGCTCACTGAGATACTAGATAGTTACTCTTCTGCTGTCAAGCAACAGGTCTCCGTGCTTTCCGCCGTGCCCTCAAGACCCTGATGTTCCAACAGGCGGGGCTAAACATATGAACATGTGAATGATTTTTTAAATGTTATCTAATTCTGGGTTTTATTTAATTGACCAAACTAAGTAATAATTTTAATTAGCAATTTTATGATGTTTGTGTGTCTATATTTTTCTTGACTGTACACCGCCTTGAGTCCTACGGGAGAAAGGTGGTATAGAAATATAATAAATAAATAAATAAATAAATAAATAAATAAATAAATTGTAGCTTGAAAACCGTGGAATTGTTTATTCAGTCAATTTATATGGATGCTCATTTCAAATGAATAACTCTGAGAAACTAACAATTTTTAAAAACCAGCCCAAAAATAGACAATTGCAGATGAGATTTTTTTTAAAAATGCATCAATACAGGTACCAGTATTTCAATAAAGCAGTTTTTCAGGATCCAATGGACATTCTAGCCCCCAAATCTGGGAACACAGCCATGTATTCAGGGTCATGTATAAGACCAATCTGATATGGGTGATATTTCACAGAGTAGGAACAGTGACAGAAAAGTAGGTATTCTTTAATGATTGGGAACTCCTCTCCTCCTGGATCTGATGGGATCTGTAGGCATGACTGGGGAGGGGTAGTCCTTTAAATAATCTGGTCCATGTCATGGATTGCTTTATAGCTAACCACCAACACCCTGAAATGAACCTAAAAACATATTGACACTAATTCAGCTCACAGAGCAGATACGTAATAAGCAGATCAAGAAACATTCATAATGTACCTGCCAACACTTACATTTTGCACCAACTCTTTAAGGGCAACCCTCTGTTGAGTGCATTGCAATAGTTCATCTATGAAGTGACTAAGGTCGGAATGACAGAAAATCCTTCAGATCCAGGAAGGAGTGGCACACAGTGAAAAGCTATGTAAAGGTCTAGCTTCAAAATCCACTACCAATCCCTCAAACAGGAGTTGTGAATTGAGGAAGACTTCGAAACTGTGTACTGTTTCTATTTGTGATACAAAGCCCTATTGAGAAAAGAGATGGATATCCAACACCCCCAACTCCCACCCTAGCTTCCAGACACCAACATCTATCACATCACCTGGGCAGCCTGGGTTGCAAATGCAAAATTAGGTAACATCAGCATATTGATTCTATCTCACCCTGTGCCAGTGGATGACCTTACCTAGTGGATTTGTGTAGATGTTAACAGAAGTGGGAAGAATACTAAGTCCTGCTGCAAAGCAAGGGCCATAGACAAAACTGAATAGAACCTTCCTTGGAGGAAGGAAG